TTTGATAACACCTTTTCTAAGTTGCGTAAAAGGAAACCCATCGGTCGTTGTGTTGTCATGCTCGATGCATTGAGCAGGTGGCCTCGTCTCCACTTTACAATGCATTGACACGTGTTTTGCAAAGTCAATGCTTCAATCGCCTTTCCGATTGTTCGTGCTTCATCCGATTAGTTATCTCTCTGAGATGAAGTGCAGAGGGCTAAAGTTGTTGTTGAATTTGATTGGAAGAAATTTGACTGTGAACGCCCAGCTGAAGACGTTTTATTTGTTATTGATGTCATTTTATCTTGTTTTCAGCCACCTAACGCCCGTGAAGAAAGATTACTCCTTGCCAATGGCATCAATATGAGACGTGCTCTTGTTGAAAGACCCTTTGTGTTTGACGACATTGGTGTGTTTTGTATTGATGGAATGGTGCCTAGTGGGTCCTTATGGACTAGTTTTCTTGATACTACCCTTAACATTCTTTATATGATTGATATTTTACTTGATTTAGGCTTTTCTGAAAATGAGGCTATGCCAAAATGTTGTGGTGATGATAATTTAACCTTATTCTTTGTTGATACTGGTGATGATGTCCTTGGGCAATTGCGATCTGATCTGAATTTGTCGTATAGGGTTGGGATTGATCCTAAGGACGTTTCCCAACGAAGGTGAATCTCTCTTTAGGGACTTCAAAGATACTTCAAAGGCTATATGGAAAATAGTTAAGAATCACTTCGCCAAATTTTCAATTGCAATGTAATAATATTTTAGACTCTTAAGAATTCTAATTGATTGATAATCAATTTCACTTCTTTAATCAAAGGATAATTCCTTGTCTCATTGATCCTAATATCTAATTAAGTCTCTCTAATTCCTTAGGTGAAATTCAATCAAATATTGCATTAAGTTCTAAAAATTATAGGATTACTAGATTATGATACTTATTCCTAAGATCTCAATAACCTAGGTACATGATTCAAATATGAGAAATAAACTCAATTTCTATTAATAAAAATTCCTCTAAGTCCAATTGAATAAAGGATTAGTTCACAATTGCATTAAAAAAAGAATCATATACTCAATTCAATTAAAATCTCAAGATCGAGATACAAAACTACATCACAATGTGAAATTTGGATCCATAAATCTCTAACCAAAAAGGTTTAGAACAACATTACAATGGAAGAAGGAGAAATAAGAGAAAAATAAGACAAGGAGCAGAAGAACATCTTCCAAGACCCAATCTTCACACTGATTCCTCTAGCAATGAAGCTTAAAAGTCGCTCCCAACCTCTCTTTCTAACTTCCCTTGGAAGTTAAAACAATTACAAAGTGAAAAATAACAAAAAATGAACAAAAACTACAAATATGAACTTTCAACTTCTATTTATAGTGTTTTTTCCTGTCTTTTCCCCTTTCACACATTAATTTCTGAAGATTATAACATGAAAGGTCTTCTAGAAGCTTCTATAACTGAATTAGGAACTCAAATCATCCAAAGTCAACACTTATAAGTGATTTTCAGAATTTTGTTACTTTTGTATGGACACTCTAAGTGGTTAGAGTGTTAATGCGCATGTGTTTTCTAAGCTTTTTCCTTGCGTGTGTTTACTGTGAATGGTTAAAGTGTTAATGCGCTTCTACGCGTCGCTACTCTCAGCGGATAGGGTGTTAACGCGCAAAGTTCCTGGGCAAATTAGCTTTAGGCATAGCTACTCTGAATGCTTCAAGTGAACACGCGCAATGTTCTATCATAATTTCTGCTGCTGGAGTGTTCACTTTCACCACCTAGAGTTACTACTCACTTGCTCTTCATGGATTTCTTCTTCAAAGTGTTAACTCTATGTGCTCAAAGTGGTTACACCCAATACATAACACTTAATTCTTTATTTTTTAAGCTCAATTTCTCTACTTTTTTCACTTCAATCTTCAACTTAAACATCTTCAGTTCAAGCTTCTGCACAGGAATTAAATCTTTTTAAGTCAAATTGTTCAAAATTGGAATAAAATTTAAAAATTTTAACTATTTACACAACTATGAATATTGATGCAATTTTTATGATGTTTCCAAGTTTATTTGACACTTTACTACTTATTTATTAATAAAAACTATACTAAAAATATAGTAAAATATGGATTTATCAGTACTCCAATGATAAAGTCAGGTGTCGATCTAGGCAATAAATGCTATTGGATATTCGAAAAGTTAATCCCTTACCTGTATTTCTTACTTTCTTTTTATAGACAGTATTTTGGGCTAATGAGATTCATGAGTGAACCCTGTCTTAGGCCTTATATTTAGATATATAATTAATGATTACTTACCTTAATCTACTCCAATATGTCTAATTTATTTTAACCTGACGAGGTGTTCGTCCTTGTGCCAAGGGAGTACTCAGATTCCTTTTTCTGTTATGATGGCCGAGTGATGCCTTGTCTAGTACGACACATAAATGGTAAGCAAATTTTATAAAAAAAAAACTTATTTACTCAATTTAATACATGATATTAAATAAAATCTTTGATATGTCAATCATAACGTCATTTAAAGAATACAAAAATTATTTAACTTGATTTTTTTTTTCTTTTGATTTTCTTCTCAATCAAATTAGAGGGAAGAAAATTTACCCAAAAATGAAATCAAAGATAAGATCAAAATTATATATATTTCTATTTATTATTTCTTTATCTAAACAATGAAAAAAAAAACACACCTATTGAGAAGTTTATTTTCTAAAAAAAGTATTTTACAAAATAAAAATACTTGTTTGATGTTTAATTTTAAAAGTAGTTTGTAAAATGAAACAAATCAAATAATAAAGCACGGGAGAAACGTAAAAATTTTGTTACTCAATGGTGCAACTTTTTGTCCTGTCCATAAAATAATTCAAAAGTTAAAAAAAAAAAAAAAAAAACACACACACACACATTCTTTCATTTCAATGTAATCCTCTATTTAATGAGAAAATGACTTGATTTTGTTGGTTTGAATTCAACATTTTATTATTTTTATTTTTATTTTGTTATTTGAAACCTAATTGGTTCTACACTGATTTGAAGTGTATTTATAATTTTATTTTAAAAAATAAGAATATCATTTACAAAATAATAAGAAAGTTATGAGTTAATTAATTTTAAAAAATTTAAGTCAAGACTTTTTTGTATAAGTCAAATATATTATTTGAAGTAAAAGAAGTACTTCAATCCTAAAACATAATTACACAGAAAAACGAAGAGTTTAAGGTTCCTTATAAATAAAATACAACAAGTACAGTTTAACATAAAAGAGACAAAATTGTATTGTGCCTCCCATTTTTTGTGCCATAGCTCCACAAGCAAATAATTTGGATTCTTTCCCATTCCATACATACGGCTTTAACTACAATGCTCTTAAATCCATAACCATGCACTAACTTTCATCTGTCGACCAATTCTTAGCTCACAATATTAATTCCATTAAGATCTTTTTATTTCTTCCATTCTATAGATTTTACATCACTGCCATCCATATTACTAACCAAACTTTTGAAATTTATTTTCCTCTACATGATAGTAGATGTTGTTCCCTTTCACTTGAAACCCTAAATATACTCCTAATCAAGCATAACACGCCTGCCATATTTGGTACACATATTTACATGAGAAAAAATGATTTACTATTTTTTCTTCCTCTTTATTTAGAACACCCAATCCATCATCATTTGGGGATATATAATTTTTGGTTATCAGCCTCTTCAAGATCACTGTCTCCACTACTTCCATTGCTTTCAAAAGAGACTTTAAAGGCCATAATTTATTGTATGATCTGGTCCTACCTGGCTGTTGATTTCTCTGCAATATATTATATGCTTGACTTAGTAGCTGTTTACACAAGCGTGTAAATGTACTTAGACATATTTTGTGAGAAGGAACAAAATATCAATTCTTGCACAGCGAAGATACAAGAATTGTATAAATAAGATCTTAATATATATCAAATTTGACATTTCATTAATCAGATTAAGTTTAATTCGTTTAAATACACAAGTTAATACTTTAAACAAAAATTACACGTACACTTCACACACAAATATACAAGTTTAAAATAATATTTTATTAATTTTTGCATTATTCCATCTAATTATACGTTTCAAACTGTATTAATACAAAATTACTTATATTATGTACAATAACAGAAAAGAAGTTTGATATAAATTTTGTAATTACGATATGTTCTTCAGTATTTTTAATATACATTTAAAGATAAACAATAAGAAAATAATAAATAATTAAAAGTTATAATATTTAATATTGTCAATATATAAAATTGTAAGTTTAAGTAAAAAAAAATTCATATATAAATTTTACCTTATTTTCTTAGTTACACGTTTTAAAAATCACGTTATTTTACGTACATTGTCATATAATGTGTGTAAAACATACCCCTTCCCATGCATTTCCTCTTTGAATCCAAAGAAATAGGCACTCAATTTCCTAACAACTTCCGTCGTTATTTGTCTTGTTTGACGTTCCTTTCTCTTCTTCCAATGTCCTAAACATCCTATATAGACATTTACTTTCTATCGCAATTATAGAGCAGATGCTAATGAATGTTATAAAATAATGCATGTTTTATAAAATATTTTTCATTATTGATTCTATGACGGCTATCCACAAATTTTCATTTTTTTATCCTTGTGCCTACGAAGAAGCAGTCCATAAAACATGAATCGTATCTGGTCCAGATTTAACAAAATGCTAAATAATTGAACACATTTGGTTGGAAGCTAACATGTTATATATCTCAACCATTACAAGTCGGAAAAAATTAAAAGAAAAGGCAACAATATCAGAGTATATATAAAATAACCACAAAAAATCCACATAATCCAGCAGCTTCCATTATTCATGATAACTTATTATAAATGAAACTGGAGGAAATAATGAATTATTGAAAATTCATATGATCTGTATAAAATAAAATGTTGATTCGTAGTATTTTGAATATATAAACCAAATGTCTAAACTCTTTGCGTTTACTTCTTCCCATGCTTCCTTTCTTGATGCCTCTTCCAATTCACCAAGAGTTGGAGAAATTTCATGACCTGCATGTGTATTATATAGTAATAATCTTAGTTCCAAACAAGAAGAACCGCACAAAATAATTGCAGAAAAGAAAGCATATCAACTATGATGGAATCTGAACCTCGTTGGGGTCTCGGAGAGAGTAAATTGCACTGCTTTCTTTCCTAACTGACGAAACCAAAATCCCACAACCTTGATTGCTTTCCCGCAGCACCTATATATAAAACACATTCAATACAATTTCCAAAATTACTAGCATAGTAACTTATCATATCAAACAAAAATTAGAAAATGTTATATATTAGGATCCAATTGTAAGGTATGGAACATCAGCCCTACATTAAATGTATTAAATTTTAATATAAAATTTCTCAGACATTGGATTTTCCAACAACAACACTAAATTTTATGGTGTATTTTTTTCAATATTTTTATTAATTGATATAAAAGCCTTCTACCATGCTTTTTATTTTTTCATCCGCAAATGAGTGGCATCGGTGGTGATGCATTGTAGTATTTGTCCAAAATTAATCAAAAGGATTAGTACATAGTAAACTCGTATGCATGAACTTCAAGACGAGAAAGTGTGGTGGTGAGATGTTAGAATTTAATTGTAAAGTATGTGACTTAAATTCCAAATTTAAAGTATGAAATTTTAATGCAGGATTTATAAAAGATTTTGGATTCTTTGTAATGTAATTTTTGCAAAGTTGTTTTCACAATCTTACACAGCTTAAATTTAATACCTTGAATGCATCTTCATCAGTTTTATCATCTCCAATGTAGATGGGAAACACATCATTCCTATCAGTTAACCCTGCACAATGCCATTTCATGCATTCAATAGTATCATGAAATCCCTTAGTCATAATAAATAATCATAGGAAGAAAAAAAGAGATTCTTATACCTAGAGATTCAATTAAAAATTCAACAGCTTTTCCTTTATTCCAGTCAATCACAGGACGGATTTCTAAAACCTACCACACAAAAAAACATACGGAAAAGATTTATAAATTCGTAACAACAAAAAAAGTTTAAGAATTGTGCAAAGAACAAAGCGTCCATTTTCCATTTAAGGACGCTCTCTCGTGAAAACAACACCTTCCGTCCATGAGTTGAACGTAAACGAGGATAGTTTTTCAAGATGTCATGGACAAGTTGTCCAATCGTTGTCCAATTCTGCAGTTTATTTAAGTGAAAAAAAAAAGAGTCAGAACACGAAATGATCGTGATTAAAAAAAGACATTAACTCATCACCATGGTTGGTGTTGTCAATCCTTACACTTTCTTCTACATTACGGTAATGTACAGAAACACAAAACTTGTGATTTTCAACTTTTGCTCCTTCTATATCTTTAGTAATCTCGACGAGGGTTCTAAAAACCTGGATTAAAACATCTCAATTAATTTCACTTTTTAACAAAATTGAATGGTTCTAGCCAAGTATTAGAGAGAGAGAGAGAGAGAGAGAGTTGGCACCTCATCAATCATAGGTAGGAATTCTCTTGCAGGTTGAAAGAGAGTTATCTCCTTTCCCTAGACACATTCAAATATAGAGACATAGTTAACTTTTGAATTCTTTGATATATATTTATAAATATAGAACGGTGACAAGAATCCATGCTTGCTTCATTATTATTACACACCTGTTGGTCAGAAGACTTGACACAATTTGGGTGAATTTTAGACAAAGTATCACTAACAGGGCCAATAATGTCCATTCCATGACTACCAGCGTAGTAGAGTTCCGTTAGGTTAACTAAATCGAAAACCTGATAAACGCAATGACCACATTTTATTACTTTGCAAATGTGATTAAAAAAAAGGCTATTTGGCTGAAGAACCTTTCAAATTTAATGACCATGAATATGATATACCTTGTCACGACTTCTTCCAGAAATGATTGCTGTGGGGAAATACTTAGCCACACTTCTCACAGTTGTACGCATCTAAACATGATTTTGAGGGGGGAAAAGGGTATTAAACTTAAAACAAAATAAGAATTGAGTTAATTGTAACTAATATATAATATAATCTTGTATCCGTTACTTACAGATTCGGACATAAAGGCACGATCTGGATCATCTACTATTGGCGAAAGAGTGCCATCATAATCTAGAAACATGGCAATCTTCTTATCCTTTGCAAGGTCAATGATTTTTTCAAAAGAGTCTAGTGCCGAAGGATATTCAAGCTAGTAAAAAGAAACACATCAATGACTTAATCTAGAAAATTTTAAGATGTGAGATGAACCATTGTAGTGAATTGAAAAAAAAAAAAAAAAAACCAAAGAATTGATAGCTGAAATTAAGTAGCAAGCATACCATCCACGAAAAATAGTCTTCAAAGTCATAATCAATTGAAGCAACCTGAGCGCTCAAACCTTTAAGAAGCTTCTTCCTTGGAGGGGAAGAAGCCTTCATAGCATCCAACCAACCATTGGACCTGACGTCATCAAGACTCCCTATACTTTTCTTTGAATTGCTTCTTGAGTACTTCCCATGAGAGTGTGGTGAATCTTGCTGGGAATATGCTAGCATATTAGAATGCCTTCCAAGCCTTGACTTGTTAACAGGAACTGGATCAGTACGAACATGAGGGGACTTCAAATCCATTGAACCAAGGTACACTATTTGAGGGGAACAAGCGTATCAAGAAAGGCAAGAAATGATTGTTTGTGATATTATGAGTGTGACTTTGGTCACAAAAAGGGTTGATTTAGGTGCTGCCTATTAGACTTTCGTTTTTAATTTTTCTCTTAACCAACTCTCTTGTCAATGAAAAACCACCGCTTTAACGTTTTCTTGTCAGTGCTACTGTGTGAGCAGTCCATTAAGCACAAGTTTCCCTGAAAGATTAATTGGGAGGAACCAAAACCAAAGTTATATGCAGAGAAAGCAAATCAGGTTTTGTCATGAAATGCAAAGAGAAAAGTTTGGCAAATGAACAATCGACAACCAATAAATAAGAAAATATATACTTTCTCATATATCGCATTGCATTAGTAACAGGGGATGGTATTAATGGTCTAGGTCTTCTGAATAGAGAGTGATTCCTACAGCATCTGCAACCCAGGATAAAATGAAGATAAATTTAACATCTATACACAATTTAATCACCATGCTGACAATTGCAAATGATGGCCTATTATTTAATAACTTCAAAGTGGAATGTACAAAGAAAAATAGGAATTAATGAACATAAAATGAAATGTGAAAATAAAAACCGAAACATGTCGAGCAAAAACTAGAAAACAGTGTTTCAACGAAATGCAAATAATAAAAGTGATGTCCCATTGCACTGGTTAGTTTGTGTCTGAAAGTTTATTGTTCTATTGAGTTTTGAGACAATCCAATTTGGCTATGGATGTTTAATTACTTCCTAGAGCATCTGATTCTACTAGACTGCTATACAAGTCAACATTTAGAAACCACATGTTAATCCAATAGGTAGAGATGATATTGAACAAGCCACTGTCTGCGAGATCAGACAGTGGAATTGACATTTTGACAAAACAGACTAAAATTTCAAGCCTCATTCTACTTTCACTCCATCTTTTTTTCAATGATTATATAGAAAAACAAGGAAAAGATCTTACTTCATTACTAAACTACATACCTACAATTTATTTTACTTTTATATAACCCGTTTAACCTTTCAATGAGGAAGAACATCACCTAGGTAAAATGAATGCTTATAACTAATTCAAAGTATACAAAACGCTTGCAAACATTGAAATAAGATTTTCAGTGCCATAAAAAGAAACACTAATGGATATGTTGTTTTTCTGCAATGTTTCAAAATTGTTTAGCAAATTTTTAGCATGGAATCAATAAATATGTAAGAAGTATCATAATACATGAAAATATATGACTAGAGTTTAAAATAAGCATAGATCTAACGATCCACACACACGAAGTTTCAAACTTGAATACTTATATTATTTAACAACTTTTCATAAAATTTGAGATTAATTAATTTAATTTACTGGTTTAAAAGTTTTTATCAATATTTTCTCACATTATTAACTGGTTTAACTTTATAAAAATCATATAAAAATAAAAATAATAAATATTTTCTCACATTATTTTATTTTAAAAAATATTATATTTTTAAATATAGAAAAATATAAACTTTTGAATAATATACCTATAATATATAAATTATGTATGATGATAAAGATAATATAACATAATTCAATGAAATAAATTAGTAAACTTTATATTTTATAAAAATTTATTAAATAGTTTAAATAATTTAATTATATTTAATATAACTTATTTTATATATACATAAATTTATTGTTTATAGTAATTTGACAAAGAAATGAAATAAAATATTAAAACTTGACAGAGAGGGGTATAAGGTAATGCCCCGTATGGGTCGTAGATGTATACATACACTCATGTTTGTACTCTGCAGTTGAAACTTGAAACTTGGGTGATGGACCTACTCAAGCTTAAAATGGAGAAAGAAAAAGTAGCTGTCAGTCTGTCACTTGTAATCTAGATCCAAAGCACGACGTTCACATTCCAATATATAATATTCATTATAATAAAAATTTTGCTTCATTGACTAGACACTTCAACGGCCAACGTGAACTTAAGTGCATAACCAAACTCCTATAAATCTCCCACCATAAAAGCTGATAAAAGGAGAGTGAAAACTCAACGAAAAAGAAAAGAAAATAAAATAAAATTTATGTTAGACCATCATTATAACGGTTTCTTGTATAAAAAGCATTGCACAACAATAAAATAAAGATTTATTTCACCTTTTTAAAAATTTTATAAAATAAAAAACTCAAATGAATTGCAAGCTTATTATTTATGACTTTAGATCGTGATCAGATTTGCCTATTTTGGTGCACATCAAATTTGCTTTTTAGCTTTTTAGAAGATACTACATAGTTGGCAAGCCATCTGGCCAAGTTTAAGGTCAATGTTAACAAGGTTCTTGGGACGATGACAAATAATAACTTGCGAAAAACTTTAACCTAAATCTGGCATGGAGATCACCCATTAATGGTAGGGTGTTTTTACCTCCTTTGTTTTATTAGACCAAGGCATCTGTCCGAAAGTTCAACATCTTCTGTACCCATCAAAAAAGGGAAAATAAAATAAACTACAACATTTTTTCTTCTTAATTGATTGGCTAATGGTAGATGAGAAATACTTCGCTCTTGACACATGGGTTGTCAAATCATTGCCCATTTGCAATTCATACGGCATCTATAATAAACAAATCCATTTATTTCAGTGAATGATTTAAAACTTTAAATATATGAGGGGTATGGAATGTCATCAAGGAAAAAAAAATAGAAAAAATGAAAATTCAAAGGCAAACGGAGAAACACAGAACAAATCAAAACAAGGCAAAAAGCAACTGTTTCGGTTGAATCCATCAAAAAGCAGAATTTTTCATGCTCTTTAGCCCCAAAAGTCTTGCCTTTTGATATTAGCCTCGCTACTTTACGCATCTCAAACCAATGCAATACAGGTTCAAATAGAAAATAGATAGAAACGATTGCTAAAAGCTCAGTGGAGATGAAATATTAAAAAATAACGATTCGTGGCTATAAGGCCATCATCAGAATATATCATATGAAATTCAAGCTGTACTTGATTTTGGGACACGTCTCACACAATCTCAATGACATCGTAAATTTGGATCCTTTCATGATAAGGGAATAGAGAAGATCGAGAATATACCTGATTTATCAGTTACCGCTCTTTTCTTTAGGCAAAAATTGTATCAACCGGCCTGAACAATATCGAAGCCATCAAACAAAAGAACAAGAAGGGGTGAAAAAACAATTGTTCACAAGCATATTGAGAGACCCCAAAGGGTGGAAAATACAATATGAAAAATCACCTTGAATGAAACTAGAAAACAATGACGAGAAATAAGAGAGAGGAAAAGGAGAACAATCAAGGGGAGGCTTTAGCTATTTATATGTTATAGAATATAAGGAGACTTGCCTATCAAGTTAGTTTTATTCACATTTTGATGATAACCCCGCGATTCTCGCTCTCATATTATTTAAATCAAAATTGCAATTACTCGACTTAAATTTTGTTTTTAATCTTTATAAATGTGATTAAATTTAATCTTCACCCTTTTAAAATATTTTTATTTACTTTGATTCTTATAATTTTTAGATTTAAAAAAAACATTTTCAATACTAATTAGTGCATAACTAGCATGCAATCATGCAATGTCAATGATCATTTTCATGTGGCATGAGATATCACATTATAAAGCTTACAATAAAATAGGCTAATTAGCCCATTTGGGTTAGTGGTGGATAATAAATTTTGACTAGGTTAAAAAGTTAAAGGTCTAATTCAATTTCGTAAAATATATTCGAAATTGGTAGAGTCTAATTTTAAAAAAAATAAAAAATTACCAGTTTAACCTATGTTGGACTTAATCAAATTAAATTTAAAAATTTAGATTTAATTCTTACTCAAAAATCCCATACCTTTATATTTTATTGGACAAGTTTGCAGCTCATTTTGTTAGCTCCATCACATTGTTAGTAAACAATAATAGGAGTTGCTTTCCAAAATTTAGAAAGATAACAACTTTAAAAAATTAAAATCAGATTTAAACATAGTTTAAAAATTAAAAGAAAATTAATCTTAAGTATTTCATTTTTTTTATTAAGAATCTTAGGCTAAGAATATATTGACAATAGGTGTCAATTTTAGACACTTATCTCACTTAATAAATTCTCCTAAAATACTATATTAATCAATTCAATTATTGGTTTAAAAGTTTTTATTAAATAAACTAATTTTACAAAACTTTTATACAAAAATAAAATTAATAAGAACTTTGTTACGATACTTTTTTTTTTTACGGGTATTATATTTTTGAAATATAAAAAAATATCAAAATTTGAATAATATATATATATATATGTTTAAATTATGTAAAATTTAATATATATGACTATAAAGATGATATAAAATAATATAATGGTTTAATTTGTTAATCTTACATTTTATTAAAAATTATTAAATTATATAGGTGTCTAATTTTAATATTAGTGTCAACAAATCCTTACTATGTGTATGTCTAAAAAATGTATCTAGTAAAATAAATTAATCTTTACATGAGAATAAAAAATGTAAATCTAAATTGTATTAATTATATTTGAAAAATTATATGATCACTCAAAAAGATCTCTTTACTTTTTAAAATATTTATGTAACTTATATATTTTAATCATGACTATGGGAGATTGTTGCCCTTACTTATATACATATATACCCATTTATATGTAAAAATACATTATAAAAATGGTATGAAAATTGCATAATCATATTTATGTTTTAAATATGAGTATTATATTAACAATTTATATTATTAATAACATTAACTTTAGAATCAAGATTTATTTTATTACTCATTTTAGTCCTATTTATAAATAAATGATAAAATTGATAAATTAAACAATAAATAAATGAAATAGCTACTTATATAAATAATGAGTGAGTGTTTTATTAATATGAATCTTAAAATAAATAAATATATATACTAAAAATGAGTTTTTATATTTTGAAAAAAAATAGTGATATTAAATTATATTACAATTTTTATTTTTTTT